TACATGTAGTTAACCAATTTTGCCAGCACCATTTACTGAAGAGGCTGTCTTTCTTCCATTCTATTGTTTTAGCTCCCTTATCGAAGATTAGATGGCTTTAGGTCTGTAGGTTCATAGAAGGTCAGCTTCTTAAAAATGAATCATCCTAAACTTACGAATAATCTACTTACATGTTTCATGTCATCTTAAATGCCCAAATCCAAGGCGAAAGTCCTAGAATATTTCCTAGGATGGTCAGGCCACCTCAAATGTCCTAAAATGGATGGTATATCTCAGCAGTGTTTGACTTGGACAGCAGTCAGTGATGGAAAGCACTGATAGAAATCTTTGCAGTCTTCAGATCTGGATCCTAAGCTGCCAGAACCTTCTGTCACCTTCTTTGACAATCTGTTATTTTATGGCTCTTGCAGGCTTCGTTTTCTTGAGTTACTAGAAATCACAATTTATTTAGATCCAAAGATAAGTTAATCCTATCTTATAAAGCTGCTATTTTCAAAAAGAAAAGTGTTTTTAAGGTTGTCTTCTTTCATTTGATACATTTTGCAATTGTCTTTAAAACTATCTCATTAGTATGGATTTTTTTCCTTTCGTTTAAAAAATCTATTATTAATTTTATAGTACTTTCTGACAACTATGAGCTTTATTTTGGTTTGCCTTAACTGTATCTGCTAATTAATATTCTGACAATGTACACCCAGTATAGAAAGAAAATGTCCAGTGTCATTCTTTTGCAAAACCTGGGACATCATTTGACGCCTCTGGTCGGGTGCATTAGGGCATCGTGAGCAACACCAGTGTCCATTCTGGTACCATTTAATAAATACTTTGTGTTTCATCCTGCGGTAAATTCAGATTTCCTGGGTACGATAAGAACTTTTTTTTTTTGGTTGTGAGACTTGGACTCGGTGCCTGGGTATTGTCCCTGAGCTTTTTTTTTTTTTTTTTTCCAGTTGTGAGACTTGAACTCTGGGCCTGGGTTCTGTCCCTGAGCTCTTCAGCTCAAGGCTAGCACTCTACCACTTGAGCCATAGCACCACTTCCGGCTTTTTTCTAATTATGTGGTGCTGAGGAATCGAACCTAGGGCCTCATGCATACAAGGCAAGCACTCTACCACTTTGAGCCACAGTTCCAATTCTGAATTTTCCTGCCAGGCTGGCTTTGAGCCATGATGCTCAGATCTCAGCCTCCTAAGTAGCTAGGATTACAGGCGTGAGCCACCAGTGCCCCGCTGACATAAGAACTTTTCTTCTTAAAATATATAATAAGCTGTGCACCAGTGGCTCATGCCTGTAATCCTAGCTACACAGGAGCTAGGATTAAATAAATGTTCAATGAAATATATAATAAAGCACCAGAATGTGAAACTTGAGCCATGCCCCTCAGCCCTTCAAGCTTTTAATTATTTTTCAAATAGGGTTTTGCTGCTTACCTAGGCTGTCCTGCCCGGCCATCCTAAGCAATGCCTCTCAAGTAGCTGGCATGCTCGACAGGCACCTCTGTGCCCAACTGTTTATTGGTTGAGGTGGGGGTTTCATAAAGATGTGTGCAGATTCACTTCATACTGTGATCCTCCCTATCTCAGCCTCTTGAGTAGCTAGGACTCCAGGTGTGATATGCCATGCCTGGTTCAAATGGTTCTTAACAACAAATTGAGTTCTGGCTTTGAAAAGTAAACATGAAAATATTAAGCAGATTTTTGTCATTCATGTTATTAAAATTTACTATTTATTCTTGATTTCAATATGCTATGGAGACCAATAAGGCTGAATTTTAAGCCTATTTAAATTAAGTTAACAGCCCACAGCATGCAGTGAAAAAAACAATGAAAACTGGAATTCTTTTTTTTTCCCCCACTAGAATTGATTTTGTCCTCTCAGAGCATACAGAGTAAGGCTTTATCTATTGCTTCCCAGTCTCTGTTCTTGGCTACTTCTTAGCCCTCCTTAGTTAAGCTCTTCTCCCAGAGCTTCTTCCTGGCTCAGACACCTTATTCCCAGGGCTGTTGTGATAAGCAATAGCACACCAATTCATTCTTTGCAAAGTTGCCTCTTCCTGCTCTGTTTTGCCTGGCTAGGCCCAGTGTCATCTACTGATTTGTCACTAAAGTTCCTTCCTTTTTTCCCCTCTCTCCCTCTCTCCCTTCTTCTTCCTTTTCTCCCTCCTTTTCACCATTCCTCACTTTCCTTTCTCCCTTCTTTCCTCTCCCTACCTAGTACCTTACTCTCTCCTCCCTCTGACCTCTCAACTTTTTCCTATATCTCATTGTTCCATCTTAGAATCCCTCAAAATGATTTACAGTCTACAAAAATTAGTTTGTGCATTTAACTTTACTCTCATTATAGTCTAACAATCAGTCTGTGTAAGGCCCAAGAAATAAGTACTTTTTTGACAACAATCTGTAGTAGACAATACTTCTATCTTTATTATTATTGAAGAATAAATCTACAGGTAGGAATCTAAGACCTGGAAGAAATCTACCTACCTTACTAAGGTGATAGAAAACAAGGCAGGCTTTAATCCCTAAACCTTACTCCAAAGGCAACTAGAAATATCTCTGGGCACTTAGTCTCATCTAATCAGCCTTCGACCAGGTAAAAAGAGTTTTGGTGACTGAATCTCTTAGTGAGCATGTGAGTCCAGTAGCATCAGAAGCTCCCCTCTATAGTTGTGGTTTTGAAGTTTTTTGTTTGTTTGTTTCATATCAGTTTAATTGACTACTTTAGTTATACAGGGAAGCAGTTGTGTTTTGTTATTTTTATTTTTATATTATGTTTGTGGTGCTGAGGATTGAACCAAGGCCTCGTACATGCTAGGTAAGTATTCTACAGTTGAGCTATATCTCAAACAGGTTTCTTACTCTTCATACTTTTGGGTATTCATACTTCTGATTCAAGGACATTAAATACATATAAATAGCCTAGTAACATAGTATAATATAATAAATATAAATAGCCTAATAAAGGAATGTTGCTTATTTTCACGGTTGGTATCAAATGAGGACATCAGATCCTAAGAGGTCATCAGATTATAGCTTTGTGCTTCAACCTGACTGCTGATTGGGCAGTTCACAACCTCATACACAGACTTACTAAAAGAAGCAGCTCTAGAAAAGTCAAGATTTTAAGAAAACTACAACCTATAAGGGTAGGGTAGAGGGATGTCCAGGTACTGTAAAGCAGCATGTCATAAGAAGGATATGAGGTTTTCATGGAGGTAGTATCAAGAGGTATGTGAGTTTTCAAAGCCAGTGAGGTTGGTATGTATTCATTATCAGAACTGTATGGTTTTGCTTATGACCATTATCAGATCTTAAAATTGTTATTACATTCCACTGTTATCATGGAGTCATTGAAAGTACTCTGCTACCCCTCGCTAGCAAGTTCTTCATAAAACAAATCATGGGAAATGGCTAATATGTATGGTTCACAGGAATGTAAGCAACCATTGGAGATTAGTACTGTCAATTGTAGTCACTCTACATTTCTCTAGTTTTCCAGTATAACATTTCTTTACTCTGCGATGTCATCTTCCAAGTTCACTAGGCTTCCCCACTGTGAGCATTGCATGCTGATGAGGTTCATGCCCATGCCCTACATCATTACATGAACTATGTCTCGATTATTTGTAGGAACTAAGAGAAATACATAGTAAACAGCAACTCCAGAAGCAAAAGTCCATAGAAGCTGAACGTCTGAAACAGAAAGAACAGGAGCGAAAGGTCATAGAATTAGAAAAGCAAAAAGAAGAAGCCCAAAGGTAAGTCTTTTCATTGGACTGTGAACCCTTGTAAAAGAAACTTTGAGTATTCCTTTTCGCCTGACCCCTCCAAATGAGTACTCACTGTACCAGAAAACCTTGCATCTTTATGCGTATGTGGACAAGTACAAACACATGTGTGTATAAATCTTTGCATATCATAGTATCCTCTGAAGTTTCGGTTGGTTCCCAGAACTCTCCAGTGTAGATAAATGGAATTATACAAGGAAATTAGAACACTTGGTTGGCTCATTTGCATGCTAATGGCTAGAAAATGTTTCCAGTTCACAGCCTTTTCATAACAGTGGTGGTCAAAGTGCACGGGTTGAAATGAAAGTCCCAACCACACAGGACTTCTTCAGCAAGACCAGAATTGTATGCTTTTCTTTCTCCATTCTTTATTGTAGCTGCAAAGAAAACTTAAGTGCCAAAGGAGAGCCATCATTCCCTTGGACACACATATTTGTGTCTCTTTCTGTTTAGATACTTAACATTTGTTGTTTCTTCGTTTTCCTTGTAACCTATAGTATATTATAGAACTTTGTTTGTTACCTTTTTGTGCATCTAATTTTGTCGGTAGATATTTGCTTCTTAAACCTCAGCTAATTTTAGACTCCCAAAAAGAAAAATGGCCAAATGTCCTAATGATGTTCCATAAATGACAAAAGTTGGCTATTGAAATTAGACTGAAAAGGGGAAGATAGACACTTGAGGCAAGTCATTCATGCTGCCACTTGGCAGAAAAAAATTAAATTATGAGTAAAATGTTTATTAAGATTTAAGTTAAAAAGAACTCTTTACTGGATTTTCACAGTTATAGTGTAGAAATACAGTTTCTTGACAGTGTAGAAAAGAAGTATAATTATCTTACATTGTATCCTGTGGCAGTTTTCTAATTCCACGTAATAATTTTATACATTGCTTATATCGCAGGAAAGTGGTTCAAAAGAGAGACTCTAGAACTAGACTACTTGGATTAGCCAGCTATATGAGACAGAAAAATCATTTAATATCTCTGTCTTGGCTTTCTCACCTGTAAAATGGGCTTAATAAGAAATCCTGCCTTAATAACAAATTCTGGTATCAAGATTAAAGGAATTGGTTGTGGAGAGCTAATTGTTATTATGTAATTTGTTTCTGAGCATTGGTTTCATTTAAGATGATTATAAGAAGTATTATGGACCAGGTGCTGATGACTCATGCCTGTAATCCTAGCTACTCAGGAAGATGAGATCTGAGAATCACAGTTTGAAGCCAATCTAGGCAGACAAATCTGAGAGACTCTCCAAATAACCAGCGAAGAGCTGGAAGAAATGTGGCTCAAGTGGTAGAGTGCCAGACTTGAGTTCAAAAACCCCTAGTACGGGCACATGCAAAAAAGTACTAATGACAGAAAATTCACTTCCAGTCTTTTCATGTGAATTTCAGATTAAGGATATTATAGTTTTCAAGACTTAGATTTAATCCCAATTGTTTATTATGTTACCTACTTTGAAAATGAAAAAGTAGAAAATAGTCAATAAAGTAACCTCTTGCTTTCACTGAACTTCAGTTTTGGAGCATCATGGATGCAGGCAGGGAGGCATCATAATGATATGATCGATTGTTTATGCAGCATTTCACTTACAGCCCATTGGGTGTCCTGTATCATCATAAGTCATTTCGTCTGTGTTTTGTGGTGTTTGTTTATTTTGATTTTTTAGTTTAATACTAGTTTCAACACTGAGATGTCTTTGTTTTTTTACTCTTAGAGCCACTTTATGAAATACATTATATGTTTCTTTCTGTGTTTTTCTAAATCATGTGATTTCATCTCACTCAGAATTGGAGTCCTGAAAGTCTTTGTTTCATTGATTACATTGCTCTAGCTGAAGAACAATATTCCCTTGATGGTTAGCAGCCCATTGACTAGATGGAGCTTTTCAATGAAAAGACACGTCACTAAGGTTAAATTGGAGTTGATTCCTCGCTGTAATCAAGCGTCTTTGTTGGCAGACGAGCTCAGGAAAGGGACAAGCAATGGCTGGAACATGTGCAGCAAGAGGATGAGCATCAGCGGCCAAGAAAACACCACGAGGAGGACAAGCTAAAAAGGGAAGACACTGTCAAAAAGAAGGACAGTGAGGAGAAAGGCAAACAGGAAGCACAAGACAAGATGAGTCGGCTTTTCCATCCACACCAGGAACCAGCTAAGCCAGCTTTCCAGGCTGCATGGTCCACTGCAGGTATTAGAAGCCAAAAGTGATTTCAGGGTCTGGGCTACATGTAGCTTAGGATATAACTTGCCTTCAATAAATGAGGCTATGGGTTCGATCCCTAGCACTGGGGAAAAAATTCTCTCTCCCAGAACCTCTTAAGAAAATCTATGTCTAATCAAGCCCTGACTTGGACATATTAATAGAGATAAAATAATCTTCTCTCTTGTTTTGGAAAGTGCATCACTTTATTCCCTGAGATCAGTACAAGTCTGTTTAAATGGCCACCATCCCACAGGTATCCAGGAGTCCTCTTCTGACTTTACCAAAGTGACCTGAGTTCCATTATCAAACCCCATTCATGCACCTGTATTGCAAATGGTAGATTTGACTCATCTTGCAGAAGACACTTGCTGCCTTTCCAATCTGTTACTTTTGGAATTGTGTTGCAGTCTTTAGTCTATATTGTACAAAGCTCTGTTTCTTACCTTTTGAGAAGGACAACTCTGTTTTGGGACCTTTTAACATTATTTGCTTCTTTAAGCTAGCAGTATTTTCAAAATCTTTGTGTGCTTGTGTAATATTTTGCAAATAACTGAAAAAAGCAATTGCCTTTTCTTAATCAATTATATTGATTCATTTGATCATCAGTGTGCATCTTTATCATCGTAGTATACAGAAAGAAAAGAAGAAACACTTTGAGTTACTGTTTACACAGTGGCCATGGATGAGAGCAATGTAGAGTTGAGCCAGATGCATCCCTGTCTCAGATGCTTACAGCCCCAGAGGAGGACTGACAGACCATCAGATCCATGGGATGGAAAGGCTTAACATAGGAGGATACATTAATTCTTTTTTTTAATGAAGTGGGGGAAAAAATTCACCATCACTTAGTCTTACTAAATTTGTTCTGTTTGTCTTAGTATAAAATGAAGATTTTTTTTCCTCTTCAGTCAGTGGGACATGTTGTATTCCACACAACTGAAGACCTTAGAGAGAGAATATTTTTCCCTTCACTGCTTTTTAGATAAGATAAATATGTGTCAAAATATTTGTAGCTCTTGGGTAGAAAGGCTCAGGAGGCTGTAATTAGTTATTTTTAACCATAATCCAAATATTCTCTATTCCCATGCATTTTTAAATTTTCATTTAAAATCTTAATTATTTTCAACTGGATTCCATCCTTAGGCCCATTCTTTTCCTTCTATATTCATTAGGAATCATTAGTATTAGCATTAGTAGTAAAATGATGTATGACCACGTTAGGTGTCTACAACACCAACATTTCCACGTCTGTAAAAAGTTGAGCTTCTCTGCCTCCTCCCTGTCCGACTCAGATCTGAGATCATGTTGTCACAACACGTTGGGTGGGAAGCAGGGAGTATTCATGCTTTACAGATGTGCACTGCTAGAGTCCAGGCCAAGAAAAAGAGAGAAAGACTTTTAAGCCACCTGGCCTACCATACTCAGCAGTAGAATGACCTTCGTTTAGAGAGAGGCCATAGGTTTGAGTTGCTAAGGTCAGATTCAACTCTCCTGTGGCATTCAGTAAGTGTTCAGGACATTCCTTGAGTGGAACTGGGGACTCAGCTCCGTAGTAGAGCGCTTGCCTAGCATGCACAAGACCCTCGGTTCAGTCCTCAGCACTACAGCGCTTGCCTAGCATGCACAAGACCCTCGGTTCAGTCTTCAGCACTACAGCGCTTGCCTAGCATGCGTAAGACCCTCAGTTCAATCCTCAGCACTACAAAACATAGGAAGATGAAAAGAAATAGCAGAATTTTAAAAGTTTAATTCCTTGAATAGGTAGAAATAGTTCAGATGTTTCTTTAAGGTAACCTTAGAGGAGATGTTGGTTATTTAGCTTGTTTTCATACATTGGTGTTTTATGTAATTTTTTTTTTTTGCAACCTTCTTCCCCCCGCTTTTTTTTGTCAACAGAAAAAGGCCCGTTTACAATTTCTGCACAGGAGAATGTAAAAGTGGTCTATTACCGGGCACTATACCCTTTTGAATCCAGAAGTCATGATGAAATTACCATCCAACCTGGAGATATAGTCATGGTAAGAATAACCCCACTGAGAGTTTATCTTGATGATCAATACCTATCCTCTTTTTGCACTTTATTGAACATTTGTGAACTTGTCAGAGAATGTGAAATCCACTAATTCAGGGTTTAAGTTGTTGAAGCTCAGTCTTCCTATTTTTATTAGTAGAATGAAAGGTGATCTTTTTAAAAATATATCCTAATAAAACACAGTATCAGAGACAATGTTCTTAAACAGCCTTAAGCCTATAAATGTCTGGTAGTTTCTGAATTTAGAGGACTACTTGTATGCTGAGTGGTTGTTAAAAAATAAGCTTTAAGTGCAAAATAACCCTGTCATTTGTAATTGCCAATGATAATTTTTGTATTATTGAGTCAAAGCATCTTTTTTCTCTTTTATTTGTATGAAGTATGTAAAAAGCAATGATTTAAATGAAATGAATCTTTTTTACTACTCAAAGTTAACACTTAGAAGTTGGGGATTTTGCTTTGTTTTAATTTATGTTTTTTCTTTATAATAATAACTTAATGTATTCCTATGATTGCAACTAAAACTATAAGAACTAGTTTTAAGAAAGAAAACGAAACAATATAGTTAGCCTCAATATTTATCTTAAAGAAAACAGTAGTTTCTTGAGCTAGTTATTGACTTAAGAATTAGTCTTAGACTAATCACATTTCACTGTTTTTCCCCCCTTGGGATTTTCTGAATGAGTCTGAATTTTAAAAGAACTGAGACAACCATGCTTTTCACACTTAGGTGGGGACATGGTAATCTGGATTTTTATAGGAACGCTTTCTCTTTTAGGGGGAGGGGAAGATCTTACTCAGGTCTGTTCCTGCAGCCCTTATCTTATTATTGGGTACTGAATCCTTTTCCACAAAGGCTGGTTAGATGAGTAGACTTTAGATGTGCTTTAAGAATACGACATTTCATTAAACATCTATTTTGCCTTGCTTTTAAACCTTTGCTTTCCTTGTGGAGGTTAAAGGGGAATGGGTAAGTTCACCTGTAACTGTCAGGAAGCCTGCATCTTATTCCATGTCTTGTTCTTTTGAGTTACTTTAATTCTGTGTAAGTGCACATATCTTTGGGTGTTGTTGTGGCAATAGTGTGTGCTGAATTTGTACCGTGGATTGTACTTAAAAGAAAGGTGTAAATCATCTGAGATTGCAACTGGGCTTATATTTGCTGGATTAAACAGAAGACTAATTTGAAGGCTCTATATTTGGCAAGTTTCTATCTGAGTTCACAGACAAAAAAATTTCAAGTAGATTAAACATAAATTAAGTTCTGAAACTTTTTTTTAAAGCAGCTTAGAATAATTTATTGGGAAGAAGTACTTTTCTACGCTTTAAAAACCAGAAGACACTAAATATATAACTGTAAAGTTTCTGTTATAGAATATAGAAAAGATTATGGGTTACTGTTCATAAAGACGTCCTAGTGTTAACTCTGTGAGAGAGACTTGTAAGGCTTAGGCCAAGTCAGCAGAGGAGAGGAAGGGTCATTGACAGCTGGAAAGAAGGAAATGATTTAAATTACATGCTTAAATTTCTATGCAATCGGGAAGATGCAGGTTAAAGAAAACAAGATAGCTTCTCTCAAGTGAAAAAAAAATGTAAAAAGTTTGGCAACATCTAGCTTTGTCAAGAGTGTCTGAATATGGACATAATTACATCAACAACACTTATCAGCAATTCTAAGTAGTCACACCTCACTCTTGAGCCATTCAAAAAGCAATTTGATAATCCCTATTCAAATTTAAATGACTAATTCTGCTTGACCCAGAAATTCTGTTTTCTCTCTCCTTTAGTCTGTTTTGAGGTACATATACAAATATGTGTGTACTTTGATTTTCTGCATCATAGTTGCTAAAAAGCAAAGATAAATACAAAGCTAAAGAGTCAAAAGGAAACAGCCAATGATCAGTGAGAGCAAAGCAGTATAAGGAAGATGATTTTAAAATTACATAGATCTTCAGATACAGTTAGATTCTCTATTTTAAAAAAATAAAGCAGTATGTTCAGTATAATTGCATTCTAGTTGAAAATAAAATTATATGTCTCTGTGTGTTTGTATAATTAACAGTCATAAAATTTATACATCAAGCTGTTAACAGTTTCAAGGATATTTTTTTTTTCCTGCCAGGACCAATCTTAAATAATTCCTAGAAAGGAGAATGTCTACCTGGGATTAGAATGGTATTTACTTAGATGTCCCCAAAAATGTAATAAATGTGGAATGTACTACTCGGTATAACTTAGAAGAAGTGATGTTCTTCAGAAGTGGAGTATGGCTCAAGTGGTAGAACTCTAGCCTTGTGCAAAAAAAGTTCAGAGCTCCTAGGCCCTGAGTTGAAACCCCAGGACCCACACACATATCAAAAACAAACAACAACAACAAAAAAAAAACCCTTAGGAAATTAAATCAATCTTTCACAGTTGAACAATCCAGAGATCATTTTACTTTTATGGTATCATAATGATGAGATTCTCAGATTTCTCAACTTCTTGGAAAAATAGCCTTACTGTACCTTAGATTTTAAAAATATAATTTTTTCTTATTATGTAGGCTGAGTAAACATTAAAAATATTTTGCTTTTAGAAAAGCTTTGCTATTGGTGCACTTTTCAATTTTTTTTTTGCAGTTAACAAAAATTTGATGTGAATCTTGTCCTAATTATTGTTGATGATACAAAGATAAGATGATATCTGCCATTGTATATCTAAAATCCTTTTTAGAAAAATCAAGAGCAGCATAGGAAAAGGCCAGTATATGATAAAGTTCTCAATGAATATTCATTATCTCTTCTAACAATTTAAAAGCAGAAAGGAACCAGTGAGAATGAATGCGTTGAGAGAGGGCTTCTGACTGGAGACTTCTCAGTTGACTTTTGCCTTGATACCTAAAGCTTAGATGCTTTCAAAACAAGTGACCTTCCTTCTGTTCTGGAGATTCCCACAATATGGAGGATGAATAATCAAATTTGACATCTATGATGTATTAGAAGAGCATAAGACATGAAGAGACCTTTGCTTACTCCTGTTGTCTTTTGAAGACTGGATCTCATTTATCTCCCAGCTAGCCTAAAACTTCCTCAGGATGCCTCAGCACCCTAAGTGCTGAAATTATAGGTGTGCATTACCTTACCCACCAGCTTCTTCACTATTAAATTTTGTTGAGGTTGTCTTAAGAACACTGATCATCTAAATGCTTGTGCTGTCACTGAGGTACATTGTATTTGTCGGAAATGCTCAGAGAGGGGTTGGAGGTGTGGCTCAGTTGGTAGAGCTCTAGCCAGTGAGCAAAAGCATCAGGGACCATGTTCAAGTTCCAGTTTCAGACCTTAAAAGAAAAATGCTCAGAGAGCTTTCAAAGCAATAACAACTAGCTACTATCAGGCTCACCCCAGAGATTCTGGGGACTTTTAGGTCCTAGGCACTATTGAAAATTCTCTTAAGTTCATTTGTTATGAGGTAAGTTTCAAGAACCACTGATCTGATTGTGTCTTTTTTTCTTGTCATTCTAGAAACCTTAACCATTTCTAGAAAATACCCTTTTCCTAATATGCAAAGAAAATATTTTTCCAGACTCTGGTGGCTCATGCCTCTAATCTTAGCTACTCAGAAGGCTGAGATCTGAGGATCCAAGTTAAAAGCCAGTCCAAGCAGAAAAGTCCATGAGACTCTTATCTTCAAATGGCTCAAGTGTCAGAGTGCTTGCCTTGAGCTGAAGTGCTCAGGGATAGCACCCAGGCCCAGAGTTCAAGCCCCATGACTGACCAAACAAGAAAGAGAGAGAGAGGAAAGAAAGAAAGAGAGAGAAGGAAGGAAGGAAGGAAGGAAAGAAGGAAGGAAGGAAAGAAAATGTTCTTAAGGAGGTATTAGCCATCAGCTAGTCATTTGTTTTAAACTCTATTTTTAAATTTTTCTGATGTAGTAATACCTTTTCCTTATGTTTCCATATCTGATATCTGAGTTCAGTATGTGTAGTAACAATTAGCCATACTGTACTGCCATTTTGAGGAATTAGTATAGACATCCATTTATAGGTATAGGTAAGATTTGGTCCACCACCTGCATTGTAATAAAGCTTTATTAGAACCCAGACATGTTCATGTATTTGCAAGCTGCTTTTTGTGCTGTAACAGCAGATTTAAGTAATTAGACCAGAGGGAAAGAGCTTTAAAAGAGAATGTCTTCATCTAGGAGTTTGGGGGGAAATCTTCTATTTAAAAGCTGGTACATTCATGAAATCCAGGCAGCTGCTGATCTGATTGACTATACAGTTCCAACCTGTTTACTGTCCTGGTTTTCATATTCTGTGAAGGAAAAAGGAATTTCTATTTGCCTATTGTATTAATCAGCTTTCTGATTTCTTAGGTATTACAAATATTTGAGACAATCAACTTACAATAAGAAAGTACCTTGAAGAGCTATAGAGACGTTCAAGACCCAGATGTAGTGCCTCTTTTGTGACAAGTAGGACACTGATCAGTACTACAAAATGAAAATGGCAGCACTGAGCATAAAAAGAAGCATAATATCAGGCTTTAGACACATAAACTGAAATCTGAATCACTACTGATATATTTTTGATTTGCATCAATGATCTGGAATGTGCAATGTATAATTAATTAGTAACATTTTATAGACTAGCTCTGTAACATAATCCCAGAAACACAAGCAGTTCCAAGATCTATGCTTCACTTTGAATCTTTGCTTTACTTTGAAAATGTTCTACTAGAATTATACTCTAAATACTTTAGAATGTTGCTTTTGGCCTGGCTAAGTGAAATTATATTAAGACCTAAACTTTCAACAGTGAAATTCTTACTACAACCACCATTAGATGAGTGTACTTTATGCAAAAGTTTATATTACAGCCTGCTATGTAACAAATAAATTCAGGTGCTAAATGTCTTAGTGGATCATAATTTTATGTTTTTCCAAATACAAGAAGAAATATTTGTGGTTTTCATATGTTGACCTTTATGCTTTTTCTAAATGTGTGATTTGAGTTAGGTGTTTAGAATTATGTTTTTTTATATCCTCTGAACCTTGAAGTGAAAATGTAATCATTAAAATGAGTAGATCTCTTTGAGATTAAATTAAACTAATTGAGATTGTTATTGAGCAGTGAAGCGAAAACGCTTGTGTATGATTTCATTATTGCTCTTAGGGATGGGAAACGCCCTTGCTTGCAGAGCTAAGAACTGAAGTGGCCCCTCCTTCCTCCCCTAAGTGTGCACTATGGTGCCCCTTGCCTAGTTAAGGGCCACGGTCCCTTAACTAGAGTAGGGCCAGGCCTTTCCACAGGGTAGGACATTTCCTCTGGGCTGTTCCAGATTTACAAATTTGCCGTGAATCTTAATACTATATGCTGCATTTCAAAGTAAAAATAACACAGGTCATAAGTAGATAAAGCAGCTGACATTTGAGGAGCTCTAAATTGAGCAGCCCTCTGGGAATTCCCACAGGCAGTGGTCAGGGATCAACCTGAGCCCCCACAGACAATGACCATGGCAAGAAGTAAACCCAGAGATGCCAGGGTCCAGGCAGGCTCCCAGAGCAGAGAACCAAGCACAGGTCGTTTAGAGCCAACTAGGGAGACACCCAGATAACAGCCACAGCACAGAATCCAAGCTGGGTAACTGCAGAGATGGCTTTGAAAAAACCCATCACAAAAAGGAAGGGGTGGCATTGTCCAAGAAACATGGTACTCATAACCTGACTAATGGAATCGCAACCCCTTTGTACATATAACTACTTAATGATAACAATAACAATTTTTAAATCTATTGTTAAATCAAATGCAGTCACTATACTGACAAGTTTTGTTACTATTTCCATCTTCTAAAAGAAACTCTTAAACCCAGGAATTAAACTGTTCAAAATGATCCAGTTTACAAATTGTGTAACATTTAAATTGAGGCAGTATAATTGTAGAATAGTGTTCTTGAATGTTACATTTTGCAATCTTGAAACTGGCATGAACTCCTAACTGGCTCCTAGCTGACATCGCCTTTAGTCTATGAATGGAGGAGAGGGAGCTTGATCATTGAACTAGGGGAGAGAAGGGTGAGGAAAAAACAGCAGTGTTTCCAGTGCATAGCAGCTACAGAGTTGCAATTGGCATATTACCAGCATACAAACCAGGAAGGAAAAGCTTTTAAAAAAAATTTTTGCCAGTCCTCGGGCTTGAACTCTGGACCTGGGCACTGTCCCTGAGTTCCTTTTGAGAGCTAGCATTCAACCACTTTGAGCCAAAGTTCCACTTCTGGCTTCTTTGGGTAGGTTATTGGAGATAAGAATCTCATGGACTTTCCTACTTGAGCTGGCTTTGAACTGTGATCCTTAAATCTCAGCTTCTTGAGTAGCTAGGATTATAGATGTGAGTCATTGCTACCTGACAAGAAAGGCTTCTTCTACACTGGAGTTTGGCACAAAAGGAGATCAAAGTAGAAAACATGTCATTTTAAATCCTTATCTAGAGAATGGAGGCTGCTCAGAAAAAGGAAAGTAAGAACAAAACTATGAGAGAAGTTGAATGAACAATTACTACTACTATTCGCATCAATGGAAATATGAACAAGAATGATGGAACTGTAAAGAAAACCTTCCCCTTGGAGATACTGTACTTGATCTGAGAGAACCCTTCCTTTTTGGTTGGTTGGACACTTATCAGCCTTAAGTTTTTATTTTATTCACACAGTAAATATTTTCTAAGTGGTGCTGTAGCAAGCAGGTAATCTCTACTTGCTAATATTTTGTAAATACATGTAGAATTGAATAGGAAGCGTTGTATTTTACTTCTTCCAGCTTCTATTCCAAGCATTCACTTATTCAAATAAACTTGCAAATATTATAACCTATTACTTACTCTACACTGAGTACAAGCGGATATTTGCTTTGTTGACAGCTTTTACTTCATCTTTTTTAAAACTAAATATTTGAATGGATTAGTCAACTGGTAATTTTTCCCCAGATTATTGTTGCTTGGACTCTACCCACTCATTTCTGTGCTTTCTTTTTTTCTTTTTTTTTTTTTTTGGGGGGGGGTCTAGTCATGG